CGTGTAGGAAGGAACAATTTCAATAGAGTTAAGTCAGTAAGAACGAGTGTTTTTCATGTGAGCGTGTTGGATCTTTTTGTACATTCTCACCACGTTTTCAGCATAACAAGTTCCTCAAACCCATAGGACTATTTGCATGTATTTAGAATTTACACGTACTTGCATATTTCATTAAATAAAACACGGTTTAAATGTTTAATTCACCAACTTACGAAGAGCTGAACAAATGAAGTGCTGCTGAGGAAAAGTTTGTGCTGCGGGTGATGCGTCTGCAGCACCGCGGGTCCGTCCACGTCGCGGCGTGGGGCAGCACTGCAGCTGGCTCCTGCCTGGCAGTACCCCTGTGCAGCATCAGGGGCACTGCAGGAATCTCCCCTTCCAGCCAGCACCTGCAGCTGAGCCATCATCATCTGCATGAGAGTGGGTGATATTTCCTGTACCGTGTAGCGAATGACACCCTAGTGCCAGCAGCCCGTGTGGAGGGTGGTGGGGCTGCTCCCAGCAGACGATGTGATGCTTGATGTTCTCCCTGCGTGGAGAAGCTGTGTGCAATTAGTCTGCTGTGTTCATTGGTGCAGCCAGCAGATAGAGAGGCTGAATCTGTTGTGCCTAATGTCATTACTGATGATTGTGAGGGTGTTTTGGCATTTATAGTGCTGTAATAACATCTGAGAGCTGCAGCCAGACACTGAAAAGCAAAATTTGGATGGCATTACAGAGACAACCTGCATAGTACTCATGATGGCATTTGGGTATGGTGTTTTCAGTACAAGTGGCAGCCAACTCGCAGGTTTAAATTTATGAGATTATTTAAAATTTTTATTAATTAAACCTAAATTTATCTCTAAATAGAAATGGTGGCACATTTTTCCTTGCTAGTGTTGCAGAACACAACTGTTTGGTACATTGGAAGGCATCCTGCACATATAACCTGTGTGATACATTTTCTACTAGTTTAATATTTTGATTGCAGGAAGATCAGTAAGGAAAGTTACAGTTAACTCAAAACATTCAAGAGTAAGGACATTTACACTAGTGTATTTTTAATATTTATTTTGGTTTGATATATTAAAGAAAGTGAGTCATGGTCTAGGAGAGTACCAAAAAAGGCAAAAGAGCTAAAAGTGCAGTGAGCTTAACTCGCTTCAGTAATCATAGTAGTCGCTTTGATAGCCTTTAGTGTATGAATCATCCCACCAAAGCCCAGCTTCAGGACTGATACCAGTCCCATGAGAAGAAGAAACTGGGAACTCGATCAATTGGTGTCACCTTCATTTATAAGCTAAAACTCTATTTCTTGTTAAGTGGCAACTTTCTTACCTGCTTCGGTTTGTGGAGATTCACTAAAAACAGTCTTCTAATTCCTGTATGTTTTTCTCAAACCAGCAGTGGTAAAACCAGCACAATCAGCTTTGCCATAGAACAGAACATGATGAAAATCTAAGACCCTTTCATTTTGTTTTCCAGGCAGCAGCAAAGCAGTACCACAGTGTCCTCTCCATCTGTACTCCACAAAGTGAGTGCTCGTGCCAAGTGCTGTAATTTAAAAACCATGTTTTACTGAACAGCCATTTTGTGCAGACTTCTGTCACCTTAAAAAGCATTTGCCTTAAGCCCATCCACCTGTTCCCCAGCACGTCTCTGGCCCAGTGAAGTAACTGGTTCTTAATCTTGTTAGATATGGAGTGAAAGAGGGGTTGAGGTACTGTGTACTGTACTTTCGTACCCCTGGGAATCCAAACCTTACCAGTGTGAATATGGTTGTGTTTATGAGTGACCACAGTTGAAATGTCAGAGGTTTCCCATGACCCTTACTTGTTTGGCAAAATCAAAATGAAAATTTTTTTTTTTAACTTGCTCATATTTTGCACAGTCTTAAAAGTCCCCATGCATTTAAGTAGCTTAATCTCACATCAGGAGCTGTGTACTAAAACCTTTGCATCAGTCTAGTCAGTTCTGAGTTCCCAAAATACTCACCATCACACTCTGGATGCTAATTTATCAAAATGTTCTGCATGTGCTGTAGAAGATCATGTACAGTAGCTATTGCCTTAGACCTTCTGTTTTCCTGTTCTGAACAGACATTACCCCCACATAGTGACAGTCCCCTCTTTCCCAACAATGGCAACGTATGGACAGACTCAGTACAGCACGGGAATCCAGCAGGCTGCTGCATACACTGCCTACCCTCCTCCAGGGCAGCCCTACGGCATCCCCTCCTACAGTGAGTACTCTGACATTGTGCTACCTTTGAGGACATCGTCCTCGTGCTCCTGCAAAAGTGTATTTGAAGTCTTAAGATTTAGATTGGAAGGTCATTTCTGTCTTGACAATGTTCTCGTCTTAGACTGAGAGGAAAATTGACTTGGTTAAAGAAGTTAGGATTACTTTGCACTGTCTATCAGCTCTTGATATCCTGGGTTATGATCTTAGAAACTAGGTGGAGCCAGTCAGTAGTAGGATGTGAGACTGCATGAGAAACTCAAGTTCAGTAGGATGTGCCACTTAGGTGTAGTAGCTGGTGAGTGTTCCCATGACTCACTGCCAAGACAAAGTCTCTTGCAAGAGGTATGATATTTAGGTGAACTACACTTTTGCCTTCCTTGATTGTTCCTGGAGTTTCAATAATACAAGCTACTTTAAGAATTTTTTTTTCTATATTGTTATGGAATACCCAAGACACAGAACAGAATAAGGCATGGGTGAACTGATAGAGAGTACTTTGGTTTTGGAAGATGGTTAATATTTAAATGGATGGTTGTTAGCTGTAGGTGCAGTAAACATTTCTAACTCCAGTCAGCTCTGTTCCCTGCTTTCCTGTGCAGCCTTGCCAGCAGCTATGGGGAGAAGTGCTGGGCAGGAGCAGCTGAGGATTCAGGCAGGGGACTAGTGAAAGGAGCACTCGTGATGGAGGAATGCCTGGTAAACCAAGCATTAAAGAGTGTCCTCAAGCTCTGCATGGAAATACCAAGCTTTTGAGGGAGCTGGGAAATTGTTCCCACTCCTAAAGACCCAAGATATACTGCTTTTGCTTGGGTACAGCTCTTTAACTGAAAGCTTTGGGCTCCTTATTCTGAACTGATCCTGTGAGTGCTGCAACATTAAAATGGCTTCATTGTTCTGTTTCTGCTCCTTTTTTCTCTTGTACTCTTAAACACCTTAATTTGCTTGGCAAATAAAGTATCTCTTCCCAACAAGTTTTTATGCAGCCATTGACAAGGCTTTTACTGAAGGGAACTTCAGTGCAATGGTCTGAAAGGTCAGGGAAATGGGCTCAGCAGAGTTGAAGCTCTACCAGGATGATGCGAGGACTGTTTTGAGACCCTATCCTGGAACTACTGTGTTTGCATCAGCTGGCTGATTTCCAAGGCAAACTCTGAGCAGTTGTCCTGTTAGAGCAGGTGAAAGTAGAGCCATTTGCTGCTGCCTAGAGTCTTTAGGGTATACATGTGTCGGGCCCATATGCTGCTTATAAATCCCGTGGTTGACCTCTTAGCATCCTTGAGCAGTGATTTCCCTCCCCCAGCCCATACACCCTCTCTAAGATACTCAACACAGCATATGAAAAACTCCACCTGGCTGACAACCAAGAACAATGAAGCAGTATTGTTTTTAGGCACAAAAATAAAGCTCGGCCAGTTTCTAGACAAAACAGAACATTGTGTGGAAATTAATTTGGTGCTAAGTTATTTCACTGTCTGACAACAGTTTTTAGACTTCCAGAAAGGCCCGTTGGCTGAAGATTAATGGTAGCTGGGATAGGTTGAATGCTCTAATGTGGAGTGCTGATGTAATTGAAAAACATGGGATGTTAGGAGAAGTGGCTTCTCTGCGCACACTTGCAAATAGCTCCTCTTCCCAGCAGTAGTGGAGCTGGACACTTGCACCAACACTTCCATTTGCCATCCAAATAAACTTCCCTCGCTTCACAGGGCAGCACTGTCATCTTGTTGCAAACTTGTACTCAAATGGCATTGGGGCTATTCTCACCTAAAGCTAAAAGAAGTGATTTTTTTATTAGAGAAAACATTATCTGAGCGAACCTTTTTTCCAACCTGAGCAAATGCAGACTTGTTGCTTTTAAGAGTCATTAAGTGTGTTTGGTGAAATGCACGGGAAGTCAACTTGTCTTTTGGCAAGTTTTGCTACAAGCTCTAAAAGATGACAGCAGCCTGGGCTTGTAAATCCAAGGCCAGAACATCAACAGGGTCTTTGTTTAGTCCCAGCACTCAGGGTGTGTCCAATAGCCATTTTTTTGTTTTGTGAAAATAGGCATGCAAAGGAGGGAAGGATCCTGCCCGAAGAGTTCATAATAAGATGCACCTTTCAGCTGTTTATTTTAATAATACAGCTGTGCAATCTCGGCAGCATCTCAAGATAAAATATCAACCCCCTTCACTAGCAGCAAAGGTTTCATCTTGCAATGTTTAATTCAGCTATTGCTGTTCCCCCTGTAAGTTCTCAATTTAATTGCCTGATTTTAGTAATGAAAAGATTTCTGTGGCTTCAGGGCTTACCTATTGTTCCTGAACTGTATGATATATTTAACTGAATAGATGATAACCCTTCTGTATGACTTGCCAATAAATATTTTACTATAAAAGCTTAAAATATAATGCAAGTAAAAGATAATTCTGCTGAGAACAGAAGTCTTGAGGTTATTTTGCTGAAGGTCCTGTTGCTTTGTTAATCATTGCTTGCATCTGGTAACTCTTCAGAAAGTTCAGGAGTCAATGAGTTTGTTTAATTCTAAAACAAAACTATTTGTTGAGAAACTGTTTTTGAAAACTATTACTTGTGATTGTTTACCCTTCTTAGCAAAAGTTCATTCAGGTATGGATACAGGATGTAGTCATGTCAAATATTATTTTTTGATTCATTTCCTTGACTCTATAATTTACAAGCCCTGTTTGGGTAATACAGATAATTAAATAGATATATATAGAAAGTGTATGGAAAAAAATTCATATAGGTTAAAATCTAGCTGAAAATTTGTTAATTCCTAAACCTGCTTTTTTACACCTTTATACGACAAACACTGACGATCTGCTTCTGATTCCTAATCTGTGCCCCAAAGGCATCAAAACAGAGGACAGCCTGAGCCATTCCCCAGGACAGAGTGGGTTTCTTAGCTATGGCTCCAGCTTCAGCAGCCCGACGGCCGGACAAGCACCGTACACCTACCAGATGCATGGTGAGTACAGCCTGGGGCCTTGCAGGATATCCTCTGAGAAGTCACAGCCCTGTACCCACATATTAGACCATTTCTTCTTCTTTTGCCGTAACAATGATGAGCAAAACTGTATTTTCTTTTTTTTTTTTTAATTAATTTTGTGCCTGGATACGTAGGATTGTTGTTAGTGTGAATTCCCAGATTCTGAATGGAAGCAAAACAAAGGTGGTTTTACACTTGAAGCAAACACTGCTGTTAGTACCATGCTTCTGCCCTATGCTATCCTGAGCAAACTGCTCTGTGTTTAAGCTGCTGTATGTAGTCGCCACTATTTTTTTTTCTTTTAAAGCTGATACCTTCATAGTAAAAAAATTATTTTTTTTCTTTACTGTTAAGACATAACTGATACCTGCTAAGATACATCTGCCTGTTTTAGCTCCCAAACTGCCAACATCATTAACTACCTACAGACTACTGAGGTAAGGTTCAGAACAGCAGAGCTGAAAGCACATGTTTCTTCCTCAGGGTTACTGAGTTAGGATTTAGTGGGTTTAGAATAAGTGTTTATTGTTGTCAGAATAATAACTGATTATAAATTAATCAGTTGGATTCCTTTAAGGCTTCAAAGACAATGCCTTGTGCTTGTAGCTTTATAACACTTTTTCTTGTACGCTTGCTCAGTTCATGCACTCATATTCTGAGTGCACTTCAGTGTTTGTATTGAACTTGACTAGTTAAAAGTAAAGATTAGATTTTGTCTTCTGCTAAACCTCAGCACAGCTGCATTTGAAAGCACCTTGTACTGAGCATGCATTGCCATGAGTGCATGAACTGATCCAGGCATTAAAAAAACATTTCCAAGAGATCAAAATGCAAATATTCTTGCTGTTTGACAGCAATGAAGATATTTGCTAAGGAAGATGAGACAGTAGCACATATGAACACACCTGAAGTAGTTTAAAGTTGCCCAATGTAGGTGCTGCTGAATAGGAAGAGTTAGGAAGCCCATCAGCCACGTTTCCTGCTGTGGCTCTGCATACCCAGACTCGCTAATTTAAAAGCAGCTCAGGTACAACTGCAGCAGCTCTCCTAGTCCATCTGTACCACATGTGCATGAGCTCTCTGAGAGGCTGTTTCAGTGCAGGAAAAAAGTTCTGAGGGGATTGACTTTGTTGGAGGGAAGGTGAATGCACACAAAGCTCTGCCTTCACTTTGTCCTGTCCTCAGAGATTTTCCAAGGGCTGGAAAACTCAAGAGGAATCGCATGACTTCCCGAGTTCTTGTGAAGCCATGGAATGGGAGAGAGATTAAGTCTCCAACTTTGCTTTTTTAACATTGTTGGGAGTCTTTTATAAAACCTCTAAGCAAGTGCTCCCTAGGGCAATGCTGTGGTGTTAGGTGAGATCACCTCTTTTCAGATTTTTATGCCAGGAAGATCATTTCAGCCAGCTCACTAAGCCTTTAACGCAAAAGAAAACAGAGAGAAACAGTTTCTGCAAGTGGCAGGTGCTTACTCCAAGGCAAAGGGAGCAAGAGTAAATGCATCTTCCTTTCCACCCTTCTTCTCCTTCCTCGTGAGAGGAACAGTCTGAAGATCCCTGACTGTACTGTTTATTTACCTTGCTGAGTGCTAGTGAAAGGTTTGAATGAGAAGCCAGGAGCCTTCCTGTGCTGAGTGCTACCGAGGAATTTGTGCTCGGAGCTTTCCCACGCTGCAGCCCTTGGGGGTGGGGAGGTGATCCCTCTGTCTAATGCAAGCAAGCAGCTCTCCATGCCACCCAGCTCCAGGACAATTGAGACTTTTGCCAAGTTCACATTAGTCCTTTTGGTCATTCTGTTGCTGATCCAGGCATGGACTCTGGATGATTGGCTAAGCCAGATGAAAAGGGCAAATTTTTATTGACATTTTTTAGAAACTTCAAATTTAAGAGTCAAGCTCTTAATCTCCACTTCAAGGACAAAATGTTTATTGCATGATGCTGAAAGAGAAATCTTGAAGAGGGTGATGTGCAGGGGGTCAGCAAGGAAAGGGTATCTCTAGGAGTGCTTCTAAGTTTTGTATTTTTAAGGCGTGAGGAAAAATTTACTTTCTTAAGCTAATCTTTGCAAGTATTAGAAGATGGTGATAACTCAGGTACTTAAGTGAGATAAATTGATATTGTTTGCCTCCATTGAGAACAAGCTCTCAGAGGATGTAGTGAGGTCTTCTGCAGGCAGGCATTGGTCAGACTGAATCTTCAGCAGATTGTGCAGCCTCATTGTCACCTCATCTATGAGTTACACGGTCCAGCCAGCGAATGGGCACCCATCACAGGTGTGTTACAGCAATCCCCAAGGAACAAATCACCTCTTGGGTGACAAATACTTTGTCTCACGGGATTCTAGAATAATGTTCTCCTTCAGTAAGTGCCATTATGGTTGGTGCTGGTTTGTTTCCTCTCCCTTCTTTGGTACCAGCATTAACACTGGCAGGGATACATGTGTCAGGTTGCAGCTTCACCTTCCTGATGGCTGTTGTCAGTAACATGGTAATTCTGAAGCCAAATTCTCTTTCTCATAAGTCTGTTCATTTTTATTACAGACACAGATGATGCAGGTGTAATTGGGGTAGCATTCATCTTTTCATGTTTAAGTATCAACTGTATCCTGGTTCTTGAGCGAGAACAGAATCCGGTAAAAAGCACAAATGAGGAGAGAACATTCTTTTGGTCCTTAAGTAGTAAAGGAAAAAAAACCCTATTTTACAGCCAGCCAGAAGGGGAAATCTATCTTCTTACTTTCCTAGCATGAAAATAAATTAAATGTGGGAGAGTTTGTAAGCCAAGTTGCTAATGCAATATGTCACACATGTATATAAATGTAAAAGATGAGATTGGCAAGTTCCATAGCTCATAAACATGACATGAAACTATATCACAAAGGTACTATGGACAGAAGTAATGATTTTAATTGCCATGTAACAGTGGATATGTTGTATCATCAGACTTTGAGTAACATTCAGCTTCTGCCCCAGAGAGTTTACAGTCTTAACTGGCAATAGAGGAACTTTTTTGTTGCTGAGGGTGGGGAGAAGTCTTTGGAATATAAAAAACTTATTAAATAAGCAAAGAAAAAACTGCCCACACATCAGCTAATGTAGAAGACCATCAGCTATGTGGAGAGAGCATTAACAGCCAGCTTATAGAGCATTTCCTGTGGTTGCATGAGGATGTGTTAGCCCTTTATTGCACATCAGGCCATCTCTTCTCAGCTTGTCACTAATTCCTAGACAATGCCTTGCTCTTCAGTTATTATGACTAAAATGACAGCTGGTATGAAACTATGAAATTGCACAACAGTTTAAACTGTGGCCAAGACCACTGCGGGTAGTGTCATTGGGCAGGAAAGGATTTGACTGCCTTTTTTTTTTTCCTTTAATATCCAAATCTATCTACCCACAAAATACTTTCTACATTACAAAGGAAAACTCAGTTATGTAACTGAGATAACTTTCCTTTGCCAAGGAATTGCAAAGCAGTATTGAGTTTGGTACAGACATAAATTTGGGGCCAAAGACCTACGCAGTGAAATTCTTTGCTACTGCTGAGCATTTGTTTTCTTTGTACAGTCCATTCTGATCAGCTGTCAAATAATGAATGAATAGAAACCAGCATTTCTTTTGTGGAATGCTGATTTGAAATGGACTAATTATGTATGTTACTTATGCTTGTGGAATGAATTGCTTATGAATTGTTCTTCTGGCCAGTGACCAAGTAAAATCTGAATATGTAATCAATTGAAACGTTTTCTTATCCTGGAAAGATTTTGGCTTTTGTTAATATCTGGATCATCTAGGCAATTCTTTTTTCCAAGAGCTGCCTGAATTTCTTGCAACTGTGTGCCAGTTTGCGTGTTACATATTTAATATGAGCCCATAAATGTCTATTTGGCATGAATAGTTAGCTCTGCATGCCTGAATTTTGCAAAGGAAGTGGCATGTTTAATTTTCAAGCTTGATTCTTTAAGTACTTAGTGATGAAATATGCGAGAAGGGGAAATTTCAATCTACACTTGAGAAATGTGGATCACACTTTGGCATACAGATAGCAAATCCATCTGAAGTCCCAGAAAATAAAGGAGAGTGAGAATACGTTCTCAGCAAACTGTCACTCAGATGCCTTGGATTCATAAAATTAAAACCTCAGTAGAAAATGAGTAGTCTTGTTCAAAAGCTTCTGCTTCACAGCTGGTTTGCATTAGTTGCAATCTAAAACTGTGGCAGTAAAGCTGTGCTCCACTCCATGGTGAGTTCAGCAGGGAGAGGCCTCTCTTCAGGAGGGGTCAGACCTCACTTTTTACAGTGTAAATACAAGGTTCCTCAGGATAACAGCAGCAGTCTCCCTTTCAAAGGTTTTTGAACTCCAGGGGCTGACCATGCTACATTTACTTTGTTTTAAAACGAGGTATCTTACAGGAGAAGGAAGTCAAGGGGAGAGGCAAAGGTGTTGACAGTGATGCACTGTGAGCTACAAGGTTCTGTGCTACTGCTACGCAAGGAGAAAGTCCTACCCTAAATTTTCCCATTTACTGCTTTTTTGTGGTTCCATTCAGAATTCATTCTTTGGTCATTATTAAACAAGGATGGACTTGGGAAGAGGATATGCTGTTGAAGTAGACACCAGGGTGGATGGTCCTGAAGCTAGGGGAGCAGTTGTGTGTTTGTAAGACAGAAATGGGCTGACAATTCACACGTAACTTCTACTCTGTCTGGGCTCATCAGGGCATACCAGATACATATTGACAAAGACATGTCCATGTCTTTGTCCCTGAGGAACTCGAGGGTTTGTGGTAAGGTATAAAGCTTGACTGGGGGACCCAGATTCTCATGACTGAATAGCACCCATGGAAACTCAGAAGTAATAATGAAAATATATTAACTGTTGAGGCGGTGGTGATACAGCCAAAACCAGGAATTTCCTCTTAAGACAGAGCATTTACTTTGGATGTGTCTTGCAACTTCCATCCACTGAGGTGCTCAAGAG